CTGTTAACTGTGGAATGGAGTGGAATGCACGAACATAGTCCTAACAAAAGTCACGACCCTCAGCATTGAGGAATACGATGCACGAAGGAGGGGACTAAGTTAACTGTACCAGGGTCACAAAATACTGTAATACACGATGTTATTGACCATATTGACAGTTTCGAAAATGTATCGGAAGAAATTCTAACGAACTTTTTATTTTTATTTTTTTTTATTTTTTTTTATTGCCTTTGTGGGCAGACGAGCATACGGCCCACCTGGTGGTAAGTGGTCACCGTCGCTCATGGACGTCAGCAATGCCAGGGGCAGAGCCAAGCCGCTGCCTACCATAAAATGAACTAAAGAAACCCCTGATTAAGTTGTATAATAATCTCGGTCCTGTTTCCTATTTTATAGCAAATATCACATTATCCGCTTGCGAGAAGCTAATTGAACGTCTAGTCAGTATGTTATTCGATATTTTGATATATTTCATGCGTATATGTTTGGTCATCTATTGTTCTTCCTAATGTGATTCTAATTGACACCCTGACATGCCACGTCTCAATGTAGTTTCCTGTATTCATATACATAATATATGGGTTAAGGTAAAAGGCTTTCAGAGTCTCGAATTTCGCGTGGGCGCCTTTTTTGTAACGCGCGCTCGTACGCGTATATCATAGACGTTTTCTACGTCATTCTTCATTATGTATGTTTTTCATTAAATATACATGTTTTGAACGGTTTTCGCGTCAAGTTTTTTTTTTTTTTTTTTCGTTTTAAACTTCGAAAACATAACTACGGTGCGCTAAAATTATTTTGCATCTTTGAATACACACGAATTACAAATGGAAGCAAAAAAAAAGGACTAACAGAGTCACCGATGAGAAACTGAGGAGCTGAGCTCTCCACCATCCACACTCCACTCACCATTAGGTGGGCCGTATTCAGGTCTTTCTACAAGGGCAATAAAAACATTAAAAAAAAAGTGATTCTAAACTATTAGTTATAATTACTTTTTTTTCTTAGATTGGTGGACGATCTCACGGCCCACCTGATGTTAAGTGGTTACCGGAGCCCATAGATATCTACAACGTAAATTCCGCCACCCACCTTGAGACATGAGTTCTGAGGTCTCAATTTTTACAGTATAACGGCTGGAAACCCTTGCTGCCCACCCTTCAAATCGAAACGCATTACTGCTTCACGGCAGAAATAGGCAGGGCGGTGGTACCTACTCGTGCAGACTCACAAGACGTCCTACCACCAGTAAAGTATTTGTTTGATACGACTAATTTCATAATTTCATTCACCATTAAAGTTCAGTATGTATAGTGAATTTATATAGGTACCTCGTCGAGGTTTATATTATTTATTTATCCCCCGCCCGTACTTCTGTAGCGCTCATTTTACAGCGAGGCTATATAGCGGTATCGGTTTGATTTAAATATAACCTTCTTGTAAATTCATTCGATTCGTTCGTTAGACCTCATGTATTGCTCGCGTCAAGGTGAATAACGAAGCTTATGCTGTAGCTACTTTGAATGGTAAAGGTAATCCAAAAATAGATATGTTTTCTTTTAATGCAATATAAAGTTTTCGTTTCGAATTGAAAGCAATTTTTTTATTTTTTTTATTGCTTAGATGGGCGGACGAGCTCACAGCCCACCTGATGTTAAGTGGTTACTGGAGCCCATAGACGTCTACAACGTAAATGCCCTTCCTTCACCGTGGAAGTCAATCGTGAACATTAAAATTTGTTGAGTACGTATTTCATTAGAAAAATTGGTACCCGCCTGCGGGATTCGAACACCGGTGCATCGCTACATACGAATGCACCGGACGTCTTATTCTTTAGGCCACGACGACTTCAAATTGTAAAGAGGCTTAGACGAAACGAATATTAGAAACGTTATTATCCAGCCCTGCCTTATGACCCGGTGCCAAGGAGTTATTCGAACTACGCTGTGACTGGTAGCTGAGCTCTCAACCTGAGAGAATGTATTGACAATGGCCATAGCAAGAGCAGTGTTTTTCAGAATCTATCACCAAAGCGGAATCGCAACCCAATGGACGAATTAGAACTGTGTGTGAGACGTTGGTTCCCGGCTTGGTAGTTCTATTTCAGCCCGTTATCTTCGTGACACACACACTGGGTCTGCACAAACCAATCGAGTAAGGGATGGAGAAGGAACTTGCCCAGCAAGGTATCCTAGGTCCCCGATGTACGTCTAGGATTAAAAAAATTGCATAATACACACCTAGGACTTCCACACGGAGATCCTGGACGCGTGCACTGTTCTAGATTCACTAAGCCTTTTTGTTAATTATAATTGAACTTTACCCGCGGTCATCGAATTCGGTTATGTTTGAATCTTTTAGATTTTTTTGAGTGTTGTTCGGCTCCCGTTTGTAATTGATCCGATTTGCATGCAATGTAGCTTCGCTCTGTCATTTGATAGATCCGAACATGGAGATCAATTGGCGTTGTAAAATGTCAAATTTAAAATTTGCCGCGAAAACGACACAAGGACAATATGCTGTTTGTAAAGAAACTAACCCATAAAACAATTAAAAGTGGTGTTAGTTCACCGTACTGATATTACAAACATCGCAAGTGCTTGCTAATGCAAAAATTTTATTTGTACAGTCTGTTTTAAATAAAGATTAGGAAAATACGAAAATTAATAGAACATTGTTTCCCGCTAATGTTATCTAAGGTATATTTTGAAATTCAGATCAAGTATCAATCACATTTATTTCAACTTAAATATTATCGAAGCATAGTTGTTTAATGTCGACACGCGATTTCCACTGCAGATTCCAAAAAAGCCTAAGTGAACCGGCGAAACAAGATCAGCGGACTTGTCTGTTTTTTACTACAAATCATTTTTTGTTTTCGTTTTCTTTTAAAATGACCTGCATAACTTTGAGTTCGTCTAGCAGTGACGTGATTGTAATCATATTGCCTTACATAGCATAGCATCGTAGCATTCGATGTTTGACGGACAATGTCTTATGATCATTATTTAGGTAACCTCAAATGTATTTGGAAATTCTCAAAATTGACAACATATTTATTATACTTACTATTTAAGTTTATTGATTGACAATGTGTGCAGTGTTTATATTTTAATGCCTGAAAATAAAGCGTGTATACATATGCCTATAACAGATTAGCGACCCGGTTTGTGAACCTTCTTATGTTGTTATTTTCTTTATTGCGTAGATGACTGAATGTGCGGGACCTCAAAGATATCAACAGAAATGTCCTCATCTGCCTTGAGATGTGAGGTCGATGTTTTAATTTGGCTTTATAACAGTAGTCCCATCTTCGAACCTCACCGCATAACTACTTCACGGCGTAGATCACTGTTAGATACGTCTAATATGTATATGATTAATTTGGTTTGAAGTTTTACGATTACCGTCCATCTGACGTATATCCGTTTTCGATTCGGCTAGACTTTGGATTCAGTGTTCAGGCTATGATTTTGTGGGGATTGAGATCTGTACTGTTATAAACAATGGTGGTAGAGCCTGTTGTGAGCTCGTAAGGATATATATATACCTAGTCAGGTCATAAATTCTGTCACATTTTTAATGTAAAATAATTGAAACAAGTTTATTCATTATGTAACCATTCATATACCAAAATGAACTTAACAAAACATAGATTCTTATGACACTAAAGTTTATTCAAAATGACCTCCGTGATTTTGAATACAGGCCTTCAATCTGCGCGGCCAGTCGTCTATCGCAGCACGAACGAGGTCCAAGTCAATATCGGCGGCTGCCTTCATCAAGGATGTCTTGAGTGACTCCAAATTGCGATGGGTTTTTGAGCACGCCTTTTCCTCCAAGTGTTGCCATATCTTGTAATCTAACGGATTCAAATCTGGACTGGAGGAGGGCCAGTCTTCGTGCCGGATGAAGTCGATTTCACGCGCCGCCAGCCAGTCTTGTGTGCTCTTCGCTCTATGAGCTGGCGCCGAATCTTGTTGGAATACCCAGTGCCTGTTATTGAACATGGTATGAGAAACAGGTTCCACAAGGTTCGTCAGGACTGTATTTTGATACACAACTGCATTCGTTTTTACACCTTTCTCACAAAAATGTACCTCTGTTAAGCCCCAATAAGAAACTCCCAACCATACCATGAGCGAGGATGGAAAATGACGTCGTTGGACACACGGAATACGGTTGCTCGCTTTTTCACTACTGTGTGCGTACACCTTATCATTTTGTTTGTTGTAGCTCTCTTCTACGGTAAAAATTTTTTCATCCGAAAAAAGAATTTCCCGATATTTTTTTCCCGCGTATCGCTTCAACAAAGCGCGGCATCTCTTCAGTCTCAGGTCCATTAGACGAGCATTCAAACGATGTCCTGTTTTTCTTCGATATGCCCGAAGCCCTAAGTCTTCATTTAACATCCTTTTCATCGTGGTTCTGCTTAACCCCATCTGAAGGGCCAACAGTTTCTGCTTACGTTTGGGATTTCTTTGAATTCGCGCCTTCACAGCTTTTATCACTGCTGGAGTCCTAACAGACCGAGGGCGACCACTTCTTGACCTCTCATCTACACTAGAGTCTTCATTGTATCGTTTGATGGTACGATAAACGAATCTTTTGGTTATATTCGAATTTTTCAGTATGTTAAAAATTTGAATTGGCGCGTAACCGCAACGATGCAGCGCAATAACTGCAACACGGTCTTCTTTAAGCGTCCACTCCATATTTAAAAATGAGTAAAATTCTAAAAGTATATATTTTTATTTTCATGAACAATTCGAATTTAGAATTCAATAAACTTTTTTGTGGCCAGCATTCTAAAAGAAAAGTTTTTACTGTGTGACAATACTTATGACCTGACTAGGTATAGGACCCGTACTGTTTTTCTGCTATGCGATCACGCATTCAGATTTGAAGGGAGAAACACATCTCCTGACTGATAAATGATCAGTTAGTCAGACTCAAAATGCCGTATTCCTGACCTGGTGTTTTAATATTTTGTCCTACAGTCTTGGTCTCTCGTGGGCATCGTCCTCATGATCGCGGCGGGCCTTATCATGTTTACTTACAAAGCGACCCAGTTCAACATCGAAGGATTCAGTTTCCTACTCCTAGCGTCTTTTGCGGCGGGTCTACGTTGGACCTTCGCTCAACTCCTCATGCAGAAGGCGAAGCTGGGACTCCATAACCCAGTAGATATGGTGTTTCACGTGCAGCCCTGGATGTTTTTAGCCCTGATACCATTTACGGCAATTTTTGAAGGTGAGTCTTCGCTGTGTAGTCTTCTCATTAATTGCACAGTTGGAGTTTGTTATTTTTATTGTGTGGGTGGAGGAGCTCACGGCCCATCTAATATTAAGTGGTTACCGGAGCACATATACATTAGCATCGTAAATGCCGCCACCGACCTTGAGAAATTAGTTCTAAGTCTCAGCTTTTACAGTGTAATAGCTGCCCCACCCTTCAAACCGAAACGCATTACTGCTTCACGGCAGAAATAGACAGGATGGTGAACTCACAGAACGTCCTGCCAAGAGTAAAGATTGTCGTAACGACCAAACCTTTGAAATTTGTTTGATATACAATTGACATTAAACTGTCAATTTGTAATAACGAAGCGAAGTCAAAGAAACAAGTATCATGCCATTGAAACTAAAATAGATTATTAATTTGTGATTAGAATCCGCATTTTGCGTGTGCATACGATGGATACAAAGTAAAAAATAGAATTTTATAAAAAACACGCTTGAGACATAACTTTTAGTACGAAATTCATGAAAAGTATTTCCTGTCCGGGATTCGCGAACTTGACACAACAGATATGAAAAGGTACTCTATAGTGTTGGTCACGGTTCAATTACGAATTAACGCTTGATCGATAATTATACTAATAATTCGCCGAGTATGATATAGATTGAAAAGTTAGCTCCAATACTGATCGATGGCATAATCGTAACGAATAAATTTTTCTTTATCACCAACCCTTGTAAATGATTGTTATTTTCAGGACTGGATTGCATCATGTTCCTACTAGGTCTCCCCGACGAGTTGTTACTCCCAACTGTCTTGAAGGTGACCGTTGGAGCGACGATCGCATTCGCTATGGAGATCAGCGAGTTCCTGGTCGTAACCTACACTTCGAGCCTGACGCTGTCCATTGCTGGAATATTCAAGGTCAGGTCATATTGATAATGTTTATTTTTCAGTGTTTTCATAGGTGTCGGGAGTCCGTTGATAGCTACGTAGGTTCCGACGCTCGACTTAGATATTAATTACATTTTGTCCTTTAGATCAAAGTATGGTTCGTGGTAAAAAATAAAAAAATAAAAAAGGATTTGAGGGCTGTGGTAAAGGTCACGGGACGAATTAAGGGGGAGGGCGAATAGCGCACTGCTGAAAGCAATTCCAAAGTTTTGCCGTGGAAGAGCAACCGGTTGGCGGTATATTGCATTTTAGACTTCACAGCCTCAAACAAAGAGAAACCTTGTGCAGTTCATAAAATCAAACCCGTAAAAATTATAATTTGCGTAATTACTGGTGGTAAAGCGTCTTGTGAGGGGTAGGTACCACCACCCAATCTATTTCTGTCGTGAAGCAGCAATTCATTTCATTTTGAAGGATGGGGCAGATGTTGTGCTGTAAAATCTGAGCCTTAACTTTGTCGATGGCTAAAAGCTGTAGTAGTGGAATCTCCCGAAGTATTTTATCTCTTTCCTTCACAGGTTAAATCCTATGGATTTGCACGATTGTCTCTTTTTAGTGTCGCTTTTCAATTGACATTTTGCGATCGAGTTTCTAATTACAATAAAATCGCTTCTAGATGTTTTTGCCTTATGCTGCATGTCGGATTAGGTGGACCTAAACAAGAAGTGCATAAAGTCGAAGTTTTAACTGTACAAAGGCTATCTTCAGTTTTCGAACCGGAACGGATTCCTGACTGGCGGTTAAAATAAAAACGTCAGTGGTGTCTTGCTGAGCAGGCTTACATCACGCCCGTAAATAATTGTGACGAATCAATATCGCTACGCGATGCGATTATGCGTATATTCATCGACTGCAGTATATCTATTCAAATCTCATTAGACTATAACACATCATTACGGATCCTCCCGATTCATTAACGGTGCTTTTAGGTACCACAAGCACCGGTCACCGTCCTCATCGAACCCGTCGCTTGCGGCGAAGGGCTCGACGAGCGAATTAACCTACAGACACGGCCCACTGAGTTTCTCGCCGGATCTTCTCAGTGAGTCGCGTTTCCGATCCGGTGGTACATTCTGCTAAGCACTGCTCTTGCTAGGGCCAGTGTTAGCAACACTCTGGCTTGAGCCCCGTGAGCTCACCTACACGTTAGGGCGATGCTGATATAGCCTCTCAAGACTATCAGTATAAGTAGGAAAAAAATAGATTATGAATGTCTTGTTTTTCTGTACGTTTTCAGGAGATGTGCATACTGGTCTTAGCGGTGAAGGTGAGCGGCGATCAGCTCAGCCTCATAAACGTGGTCGGTCTTGCGGTGTGTCTGCTCGGGATCATTGGCCACATCGTCCATAAGATGTTGATCATTAAAGCCGTCGAGAGTGCCGTTGTTGTCGAAGTCGATAACTTCGAGGCTGTCAAGAACAGGTCAGAGTTGAGATTTTACTTAGATGATATTCCTTTTAATACTGTATAAACTATTATATGTATGTATGTATGTATGTATATTTATATTTATATGTGATTTTGTATATATGTAGATATACTTTTTTTTTGTATGTATTCGTAGCCTAATATAAATTTCATTGCACCTACCACTATTTACTCTGCACTACCTTTGGTTGACTGGTAGAGAATGCCTTAGGCATTAAGTCCGCCAATGTAAATTTTACATGAAGTGTAATAAATAAATAAATAAATATTCAGATTACCACCAATTTTTTTGTGTAGGTACTTGAAGATAAGGTTATCTAGGTAAAATATATCCTTGAAAACGTACATTGTTATAACGCCTATCTTCAGCCTTCTTCTTACCCTTCATTTGTAATATCCAACCAGGCAACTATAAGCATCCAAACAGCAACTATATATATATGTCAATTAAATCATTAGATAACTGTTTTGATACACAATTTAAACATTAAATTCTAGTTTTATTATTTACGTCATGATAAAGGCCTTATCACAACATCCTATTTCATATGTGGTTCAACGTTTTGTATTAGTCGAGGATCTCTGCCAAACTCGTTTATTTTAGACTCAAATGCCGTCACACTTAATTTAATTCTCTTTAACCGCGTTTCCTATTTATTGATGTCTTGTATATCAAAACCAATATTAGAGTGTAATCGACAAATAGATTTCCAAGATTCCGAGCGACAGAAATCAATTTTATATACACTCTAATAAGGTCGATTTTGAGAATTGTACGATGATTTGAAATATTCGGAGAATTGTGGATATTCATTGTATTACTGGTTTCGAATAAATTAAATTAATTAAGCTTAAGAGTGTTGCCTGTAATAAAATTTATATTTAAATTGTGTCTCCTTCAGGTCCCCGAATAAAGACGAAACAGATGAACCTCTACTGACGGAGAAGAGTTGGCTTAGCGAAGACAGCGACGTAGACGCTAACGTGGTGCTGTACGAAGTATTGCAGAGACGCGACGGACATTAACATTTGAATGCATTGAAGCGACACAACATCGAGGCAACTCTATACTACACAACTATACACACTATAAAGAATACCAGTCCGATTGTGAATAAGAATCGCGAACACATTAATACCTCCTATCGTGAATATTTTCAAGAAAATTAATAGCGAATCGTTAGCACAATACACACAGATTCTATTTAATGTATAATTTTTACTTATATAAAACTCAAACGTACATAAATGTACACGTTTATATTTGAAATACGAGTGCTGACGATGTTGTGTAGTTTTAGTCGGAAAATGTTTTAAAGCTAGCAACACCGGTATTGTAACGTCTATGGAACGCGCGACGGCTATAGTCCGAATCGGATGAGCCGCTCGCCCGTATGAGTACGTAAGCTAAGAACGCTGTATACGATGTTTTGTCTCATTCACGCTTGCGGCATTCGCACGCGGGTAACACGAATAGAAAATGCACCGTAGGATAGCATACTAATGATCTGTCAAAGCAGATACAAAGAGACAAAACCTCACCAGTTGTTCAATGTTTTCCATTTATAAAATATAATCGTATATTCTATAACGCATAGTGATAAATATATTTTTATAATATTATTAATATTAAGCGTTCTAATAATCAATTTTCATATTACGAAAGACTAGTCTACATATAGAGAATTGTATAAATGACTGCTTTAGAACAGTTAAAATTTTATTTATCTACTACATAAAATATGTATATAAAAAGACGCGCGATTTTTGTCAAACGTAGATGCAATCGGTATATTTATATCATTTTATTTTTAAAAGACTTTTATTATATTTGTTGTTTTTGTTGTTTGGCGTTATGCAAATATTGCATTTTATTAGATTGTAAGTTGACTTATAGTTTTGTTATCGTTTAGTTTATACCTGTTACTAATAACATTCCAAATGAAATGAGTATAAAAATAATAATAATTAAAACCATTGTAGTTTACAAATCTGAAAATGGTCGTTTTCGATAATAGCAACACCATGATCCATACATAATTCCATGATGTAATGTACAGTAACAACATAAAACCATATTTTTTTTACCAAAATGCAGTCTCTGGTGTATCCACTTGACACAAGGGATTTTATGTTTGACTTTTGAAAGGTTTGAATAGTCTTTATTCCAAGGCAATAGGGGCGTTCATCTTACACCTCGAGGTGGGCGTGCCCTGTGTAGGAAACCGTTTTTTTTTTTTGGAGCTTACGTTGTGTACTGTAACTGGCAGCTCGGTGATACCAGCTCTCAGCACGTCTGATGTCCAGTTATTTTTTTCCATTTTTTTTCTAGTAGCCTAAGGGGCTATACCAGCTACGCCCGGACGGGTTGGTGAGCTCATGGGCTCAACCTGAGAGACCTTCGCAAGAGCAGTACTTCGCAGAATCTACCACCGGATCGGAAACGCGACCCCCTGAGAAGATCCGGCGAGAAACTCAGTGGGCTGTGTCTATGGGTTAGAATGATTGCCGCCGTCCGCCTCAAGACGTGAGGTATAAGTGTAAAGTACATTGCAATCAGGCCGCTAGTATGAATGTTTTGTGGCAGTAATGATTGTCTTAATTTCGATTAAAATTCTACGATTTAATCTCCCGTTTTTGTTGTTGTTGTAGTGTATAGTTTTCGGACCATAAATCGTAATAGTATGGTTTTATTTATGTCTACGACTTTGGAATTCCGAAGAAGTTACTTAATGACTTATATACATATATACCGTCTTTTCGCATTAAAAGTGTACAATTTCCAAAAATATTCGAAATTTAGTTAATATGCGGCATCATTTGGAATCACCATTATTTTTCTCTCTAAATACTGTCAAAAGAGCGTAGCTTAGTTTTAGTTTTTTTTTTAGCTACCTATATTTTGACTACTATTAACAAAATGAATGCATAATTTTATCTTACCTTAAAATACAGATAATGTAACTGGTAAAAACTAAAAAATAAATGTTGCAAAGATGATTAATATTAAAAATATAATATGTTAAACCTTTAAACCTTAAAATTTAGTAAGTTTTGATAATATACTATAACTATACTATAACGTATAAGTTTTAATACGAGAAGACGATTTATGTAAGGGAAGTCTGTTCGCCAGTTCTCAATTATTATTTTTTTGTTTTCGCGATGTACAGACGAGTACACGGCCCACCTGATGGTGAGTGGTTGTTGTTGCTCGTGGACGTCAGCAAGCACAATCAAGTTTATCGCCGGGGACCCTCAAAAGTTGCCAACTATGTGGTTTTATTATGTATATAACGCATGGAACGCAGTATGGGACGGTCACCTACCAGATGGACCGACGACTTGGTGAAAATTGATGGGTCACGTTGGATGCAGGTGGCAACGGAACGGCCGCACTGGACATCAGTTGGAGAGGCCTATGTTCAGCAGTGGACAGTAGAGAGGCTGAGATGATGATTATGTATATATATTTTGTTACTAAAGCGTGTTTTTCTACATCCTATTGTATAGATTTAATTAATTTATTAGATATTTTTAACGATAATAAGTGCCGATTCTCACCTTGTGTTACGCAAGTATACGTTTAAAATTCGATGAAATTACTATAAAAGTAGGTACCTACCTATAAGTTTGATGAAATGAAATTATCGATGTACTTCTATTAATTTACAAATCGTAAAATGTTTTTAATCTATATTTCACAAGAATATACAGTTGCGTAATAATAATATATTATAAATAATAATTATTTACAGTCAATCTGTATCCCAAATGAAATTATCGATGAACTTCTATTAATGTATGAATAGGAAAATGTTTTTAATCTATATTTCACAAGAATAGACATCTGCGTAATAATAATATAATATTATAAATAATAATTATTTACAGTCATAAACTGTATCGCAAATGAAATTATCGATGAACTTCTATTAATTTACAAATCGTAAAATGTTTTTAATCTATATTTCACAAGAATATACATCTGCGTAATAATAATATATTATAAATAATAATTATTTACAGTCATAATCTGTATCGCAAATGAAATTATCGATGAACTTCTATTAATGTATGAATCGTAAAATGTTTTTAATCTATATTTCACAAGAATATACAGTTGCGTAATAATAATATATTATAAATAATAATTATTTACAGTCATAATCTGTATCGCAAATGAATTATCGATGAACTTCTATTAATTTACAAATCGTAAAATGTTTTTAATCTATATTTCACAAGAATATACATCTGCGTAATAATAATATATTATAAATAATGATTATTTACAGTCATAATCTGTATCGCATAGTGCTCAATGTTTCACTTCGTCGATTGTGCTATAGTGTTAAACTTTAGTACTCGTGTGCTCACTTGCTGTGCTCACAAGACCTGTTCAAATAAAATTAAGTAAAGTGCATTTTTATTATAGCCATTGTGTAACTTGATGCGAATCGAACGTATATTCCTGTAGTCTAACAACATTCCCGAATTTAAAGCTTCATGTGAAGTTGTTAAGCGAGAAGGAAGCAATCAATTGAATATAAAATTTCGAAAAGGGCACATCTCTGAAAATGTAAAATGTTCAGGAAATGAAAAAAAAACTGATTATTTTCTAAAGCAGTGTAAAATTTAAAATATTAACTTTTTAGATATTTTTTAGTGTTTATTAGCAATTGAAAATTACTGTAATTATTATAAAATGAGTGCAGGTAAACCTCAAAACTACATGTATATGAAAAAACGTATTTGACAAAATATGCGACATGTGTCCTTTTCGAAATTGCATATTCAATTAAAATGATTGCTAAATAACGTGCTATAAAGACCTTATGTAGGGATTCCAAGATTTTTTTGCAATATTTAATGGCTATAAAGGTTACAGATAAACATTTAGAAGTATGAAATCAGTGTGTGTATTCAAATGTAATTTGTTACTGATATAATGCTTCTCAAGCGCACTGTGTCCCTCTCGCATAACAACCTCATCCGAAACTAAAACTTTAAATTCGAAAATAGTTCCTAAATAACCGTGCCCAGTGAATTTATTATGTATATAATACTGTTCTAAAGATTTTTTCTTTCTTTTTTAATTTAAATCAAACATTCCTTTGTTGTAAATTCAAGTGAGTGTTAGTTTTGTGTGGTTGATGTTATGTCGAATGTTGCCAATAATAATATAACAGGCCGTTTCAGAACGGAGTTCGTTGTAAATTGTTAGCAATTGTTTAGATACATTTGATGCGAAATCGATTATAAAATTTCAAATTAATAATATTACCATCACAGCACAGTATGGTGGTGGATGGTAATTATTTTAATTTAAATCTGCTGTTTGTTATGATCGTTTTACAATTATCGAAACTGTTCAATATATTATCGTCTTTTCGCATTAAAAGTGTAAAAATTGAGTTAATATGCGGAATCGTTTGGTATCACCAGTATTTTTCTCATAAATACTGTCAAAAGAGCATAATTTAGTTTTAGTTTTTTTTAGTTTACCTATGTTTTGACTACTATTAACAAAATTAATACATAATTTAATCATACTTTAAAAATCATAATGTAACTGATAAAAAAAAATGTTGCAAAGATGATTAATATTAAAAATATCACATGTTAAACCTTTAAAACATTCTCCTATAAAATTAGTAAGTTTTGAGATTATACAGTTTTAATGTGAGAAGACGAATTATGTGGGCACTGACTTAAGCCAAAAGAATCCTAACAGTAAAGTTTTTGAACAAAACGCTAATGTGTTCCAATATAAAAAAAAAAAAACGAACGAGTGCATGAAAATTTAAACAGTCGTGCTGTCTCAGAGAAGATTTTTGTTACAGTATTATCATCGAACGCAAGATGGCGTCACATTTTTTTTTTAATAATTCAATATTTTTCTTCATTTAGAATCACGGCTTACATTACCCTCAGTCTAATACGAATGAATATGTCACCGATTCGTTTTTAGCCTAACGATTTGGAGTCACTGGAAAATATCTAATAAGGTATGCAACTATAGGCCTAATGGCTTGTTGTTAGGGTACATGATCCCGAAACTGGCCCTTTACTGCAATTCTTAGGTTCAAGCGTCTCATTTCCAATAACGAAGACCGGTTGAAAGAAAAACAAAATATAGACGGAATCCTAATGGACGGATCCTAATGAAATTTATTTTACAAAGTCTATTGACTGAAATTGAATGTTGTACTTATATCCGGCATGACAAGACAACTCGGTTGAAAATAAAAAAATATTTAACTATAGAACCATTTACAATTTTTTTTTTTAAGTTCTCTTTAGGTTGTGATCTTTGTTGTATTTCATTTTTATTTTTATTATAAATATGAATTGAATTGAATTAAAGTCTTCACCGTACAACGATAGAAACTATTAAACGTCACTTAATTTACTATAAAAAATTGTTTAGTTTTTTTTTCTACCTTAGTGCCCAAACAAGCGTAATTATATAGATATATTACAAATAATATCATTAGTAGCATGTATCTACGTAATTTATGATAATATGATTATGATAATATATATTATAATGTTTATAATATAATTACGATAATAGATTTTCGTGCACTTGTAGTAACAGCAGAGTAAAACTTGTATTTAGTATGCTTTTATGCGATATGATTACTGATTTTGAATCTTATTTGGCATGAAGATTGTTTTTTTTTTTCATGAATAAAAATACAGTTATGGCATATGAATGGAGTAACTATTCTCATGAATTCATAATAAAAAAAAACAATGTCTGCAGTTAGTATAGTATAATACAATTTGTGTCCAATAGAATATTTAAAGATTTCTAATTACCTCCAGTTTGGCGATATTGAAATATAAACATTGTATTTGGCCTGCCTCTATTGGTAAAAAATAGCAGTAATGAAATGCTGATAAGATCCCTTATCCAATGTAATGATAGTTTTAAAATTATGCCTTCAAAGTCATAACGTTTTAGACATGCCTAATGTGACATCAATTGTTTAGAAATTTTTTGTGGCATTGCTAAGTTTATATTCAAATAGCAGCAGTTTTCTTGATACTATGCGTGACTCCGCGATTACTCACAAGAGGTCGCTAGTTCGAAATTGAATCGGTGTCTCAAATGCCTTCAGCTCTTCTGAAACTCACGTACGTAATGCGAAGGATTTCTTTCGTAATGGCGGTGTCAGAGGTACAGCCAGCACCCTGTCTAATGGTAGTCTTCTCATTGAAATCGGCATCGATGAAAATTCCCAAAATTTCGGCTCCGATTTTAACGAGTAACTTATGCATAATATTATAATAATGTAATACTAATTAGCTAAGACATACGCACAATACTTATAAGTCTTATCACGTAATATGTTCAAAGGGAAATAAATGTATTTTTTGACATTAACCTTCATCACACGTTTTTACATAAATAATGTACCTATCTAAAAAGATAACATAAGACAAAATGTACATATTATATTATTAGAGATTCGTATTTTATGAAATGTTATTGAGATTCGTAATAAATTGATATGTTCAGCATGAAACTAAAAGGATATTTGATTAAATTTTTAACCAAGTAATTATTACATATATTTTTCAATTATATTAAAGTTAGTCAGAAGCCCATTACAACGGTAACTAATACGGTTTAATGGCTCTTAAATTAAATTAAATATATTTAAAAAAACACATTTTCCAATTTCGATTAAAGTCTTGTTTTCTCAACAAACTTTTATATTTAAATAATTTAGATTTCGGGTCCACTTTCATTAAAATGTTTTTTAATCATAATTTTGACAATTGCTAGAAGGACTATTATTATCAACACAGAATACAGTTAATTATGTTTCAAATGTGGTAGGAATCTACTAGTCAATCAGCACGTGTAGACAATATCGTCTTATTTTTGGCGCGAACTATTCGCGCGTTCTTGCACAGCAGGCCGGTCAATGACCTAGGTACATTCTTTGGACATAATATTTATCGGAGGGCGACAAGCTTGGAAACAAAAAGATAAATAATTAATTGTGTATTTTTTTAATTGTAGCAAAATTCTCGCTACGGTTTGTTCAAATTACAATAATCTAATAAAATAAAATCGAGATAAAATATATTTTTTAAATAGTCCCAATTAAAATGTCGAATCTTAATTCGTTGAAAAACATATGAGATTATAAGTTAAATCTCAGTGCATAGTTGTATCCTTAATGCGTTTTATAAATAAATACATTGCTTATTTAACATCGGAATCTCTGGTCGAGTTTGATACATAAAATCTACTTAATCAATGTTATTATATTAAGATAATTGTAATCGCCTTTCGCCTACCGCAAAACGTGTAGGTAACGCATGTAAGGTATCAAGGTGCTTTCAAATTTGCATCGACAATGTTTGCTTTATTATATTTTTTGCCTTTCAACGTTCACGCTAATTAATATTTCACTAAACGATCGTGACATCAGTTTTTGAAACTAACTTTTTATTTTCAATATTTTATCAAATAAATATTCTGGGCTTCTGATTTTTTTTTATATCTTATCACAAAGATAAATAGGGATGTAAGTATTGTATTTTATTTTATTTTGTTGTATGGTAGCAATGTCGTAACCAAAGACAAAAATGTTCTGTTAGTTCGCCCGAGCTCTTAGTGGATTGTATATTTTTGTGGTGCTTAAGAATGATTTGAATAAAGCAATTATGTAACGATTTAAAAACAAAAGCACGCTGCATGTATGTAGCATTATAAAGGAATTTATTTAGTTGAAAAATTACAAGCTGTGCGAAATTTAGTCATTGTAGTATTAATTTACATTTACATTTGAATATTAAATTCAATGAATAAATAAAGTGTATTTTATATTCTGCTGATTGTTTATTTCATTTTTTGGGATGGTTTGGACATGTGATGAGACGAAATGAAAATGAGGTTGTTACGAGAGTGTTAACTATGAATGTGGAAGGATTTAGAGGAAGAGGTAGACCTAAGAAGAAATGGATGGATTGTGTGAAAGACGATATGGGTAGGAGGGGAGTCAGCGAAGAAATGGTATATGATAGAAGAGTATGGAAGGAGAAAACATGTTGCGCCGACCCCAGGTGACTGGGAGAAGGGCAGGATAATGATGATGATGTTTATTTCATTTTTATTTTAAGATTTTCATGTTTGAGGTGAACCTTCAGTTGCATACAATTGCTGGTGTCTTAATTAATTGAAATGAACCTGTTGTTCCAATATATAACTAATAAATATTTATAAATTTATTATCGAATAATGAAACTTCAATTGAAATTTGACCCTGTGTGTTATTATTATGCGTGGTGGTCTATCATAATATAATCAAGGCACAAGAATATTGAATATTATCCCAAAAAAATAATATCAGAGGAACGCAGATTATATGCAATAAAAACAAATGTTTTTTTGCTTAGATGAGCGTTGCGATGAGTTCACAGTCCACCTGGTGTTAACTGTAACTGGAGCCCATAGACATCTACAACGTAAATGCGCCACCCACCTTGAGATGTAAGTTCTGAGGTCTCAGTATAGTTACAAGCTAAACGCATATTTCATTCTAGTGACCGACGTCCGTAAACAGAATGTGTATAAGAGAAAGTAGCTCGCTTTTTCTCTCTCTTCAAGATCGAGTGGTTCGCAAGACATTCTATTTTTTCAATATTGCTCGTCCTAAATTGTATCTTTTCTCTTTAGCCGTAACGAATCTGTCGCGTGTTTTGTTTTACTCTCAACGCGCCTAAAAAGGTTTCACCTCAAAAACGCTTGCAATTAAACATGATGAAATTACAGCTTTAACTTGGAGACGACCTGATAGTTACACTGGAACTTTATCGTATAAATACCACCAGCGTTGGGGTCGAAGTTTTAACGAAATTCATGGAATAACAAACAGGATAAGAGAACTAGGATAGATAGCGTCCTATTTTAAAATATAGAAAAGGTTTCTACATACTAAACCTAAGAAGCTTTTTTTTTTATTGCTTAGATGAGTGGACGAGCTCACAGCCCACCTGGGCGCCACACCACATGCGCCACCCACTTTGAGATATAAGTTCTAAGGTCTCAATTATAGTTACAACGGCTTTTTTTTTTTTTTTTTTTTTTTTTTTTTTTTTTTTTTTTTTCTGGCCGGGCGCCTAACCTCCTACGAGATCCCCGCGCCTAAGGGGCGCGCGGGGTATGTGAGACTCAACGATCTGCAGGTGTTGAGAGCAGATCGCGGGCCCAAGGATTTTAGGGCCCACCCACTAAACGACTCCCCTGCACTCTTACACCCGACGTCCGATCTCCGTCCGGGGTCAGAACCCGTTCAGAGTAGGGGGGTTCCCGCGGTCAACACTACAACCAGACACGCGGCGCCACCCCGAGGACGCCCGACCGACGGGTCGTCGAGGCGATAGTCGACGACCAACGACGTCGGTCTCCGCGGTACGGCGGCCCTACCAGGCCGCCCGGGCGGTGCCGCTGGTGTTCCGGGATACCCCGCTGGGCCAGAACCAGCCTGCCGGGTCGGAACGCGATACACCGCCGACCGGGTTGCTCTTCAACAGTATGTTCGGCGACGACAGCGACGACGAAAATGCGGACCGCATCGCAGTCCGCAGCCGCCGACGCGCCGTCCCGTCCTCCTGGTGCCAGCGCGCTAGAGTGACGGTAGCGTGCGGCGCAGCCTCAACCCCCTTAGGTCGCCCCGTGACCATCACCGGGAGGAGACTGCCTCCTCATAGGGGCTGGAGCTGGACAAACGCCCTCCTCCGACCCCCGGCCCGACGGCGGCGGCACGGTGCCGAGAGGGAAGAAGAGCTCTCCCTCTCCCGTTCCGCCGCCTCCTTCTGCGAGATGGTGGACTCGCAGAAGTCGAGCATCGCCTGCCAGGACTCGTCGCTGCCGAGCATCGTAGCCACGACGGTCGGAAGCGACAAGTCCGGTCCTATTTTTGCAACGAGGACGCGGCGCTGCTCCGCGAAAGCGGGGCAGTACGCGAGCGTGTGCTCCGCCGTGTCCTCGTTGCAGCCACTGCAGTGGTGGCACTTCGGCGTCGGCTCCCTCCGGGCGACGAGGTGCAGGTAGCGACCGAAACAGCCGTGTCCCGTGAGCACCTGCGTCGCTCGGAAGGTGAGACGTCCTCGGTCGCGATTCACCCAGTCCGAGAGGACCGGGCGGATCGCCTCGACGGTCCGTCGCCCGTAGGCGGGGTCCGCCAGGCGGCGAGACCACGCCTCGAGCACGGAACGCCGAGATTGAAGCTTCCGCGCTCGAACTTCCGCCGCGCCAGGACGCGGCTCCCCCCTGGAGCGGAGATCGCATCGCCACGCGTAATCCGCAGCGAGCGCCTCCGCTTCCAGGTCCCAGGGAGGCGTCCCAGCTAGCACGCACGCCGCCTCGAACGAGACGGTGCGGTATCCACGAATAGTTACAACGGCTGCCCCAACCTTCAAACCGAAACGCATTACTGCTTCACGGCAGAAATGCACGGCACGGCAGGGTGGTGGTACCTATCCGTGCGGACTCACAAGAGGTCCTACCACCAGTAAAAATATATAGATCGATATGTGTATTGTTGCTGTCTATTTTAATAATATTTAGGTTTGAATTGCGCTCGAAAGTCAAATCAAAGAAGCCGTTATTATTTTGCGGCTGAAATTGTTAGCGCGGCAGTGGCAAGCCGTTCGTGCCATTTTTTAAACAGCCAAACATAATTTCGTAATAAAATGAACTGATTTATAAATCAGTTCATTTAGGATGCTTTAGTTCATTAGGATGCTTTATAAAGCATCCTAACATTTTAAACGATTATCAGTGAAAGATGATTAAACTACTTTTTTAAGTTTCTAAGACTATTTCGTCGAGAACAACTTCTTCAAAGCTTTGACTAAACAAATTACCCTTTGCGGCTTACAATAACGTTACAGCTTTGCAAAAGACCTGTCGACTTTGTTGCGAATGGCTTGCGGCGAGCGCAATATTAAGTTTTACACAGGGAAAAAAATACATTTTATCCAATAAATTAGACAGAAAAGATTTTTATTCTCATCTTTATTTTTAATCTGTTTGTATTGTAAGCTAATAGTTAAAAAGCCTTCTTTGTATTTGAAAATATTTATTAGAATTTCAGTTTAATTTCCTCTCTCATCAACAATGATTTTTATTTATTTGGGTGTCTTTTCAATTTAATATTATTTAGGATTTCATAGTAATTGAGTAAACCTTTGATTTTGCTAGTTGTTTTCAGTTTTTCAGTATTCCAGTTCCAAAACTAAGCTGCGAAGGCGTCTTAAGTCCCAAATGTCCGCTCAGGCGATACAGCTTTTCATTCAAAGAAGTGGTAGCTTCCATCTTACGCAGAAACACATTCTTGCATGATGTATTGAGAGTTTTCTCTGTAATCGTTTTAGTTGAATCAGAATCTAAAGAGTTTATGATCGAATCTGCATCGTTGTCAAGGTTGAATATGTTCGTTTGTGACTCCTGCCGCCAAAGCTTCTGCAAGTTCAAAGCCATCAACTCTAACTGAACTTGTGATAGTTCTCTGATGACATCTATCTGAACCGACATCATGTTGTCGCAGGTCTTTAACAAAGAATTCAGGTTTTCTAAAACGTCAGCGCGGCGCTTCTGTATGCTGTATTGGTTGTCTATGTTCCTCTCGAAGAAAGCAAGGTGCTCATACAACTCAGCGAGCTGTAGAGAACACGATATGTATTGAGCCGAATGGTGTTCAAAGTCGTAGTAATGTTTAGCTCGCATGAGCCATTTGTGTGTAAAAGCAAAAAGTTTTCTAGCATCTTCTGCTGTACATACCAAACCTAAAGGTACTTTGCTTTCCATTTCTATCAAATCTAATGAGGGAAAGCTGAAAAGTTTTTCGGGAGTACCGTCTCCTTTTGATTTTTCAGCTCCTAAGTCTTTTAGGTTTTCTTCTTGAATTTTAGTGTCATGATTATCGTCAGCCATTTCCACAGTCTTCCATAAGTCAGTTCTGCAAGACGGCTCTGAGAAATATTTGTTTAAGATCTTCTTTTTGGATAGCTTGAACAGTGTGAGCCCGTACTTGACCCAATGGTGACTCAATTCTAAAAAGTGAATTTCGAAATCTGCCTTTTGGAGTACAAATTCCTCTGGCATCAATTTGCAGTTGTCGTGACACGTCCTGAGCACGTGGTATGCAGCACAGAGATGGTGTCGAGCGTTACCCATTTGATTAAGGTATGTAAAATAGTTACCTAAGCGTGCTGTCTTCAAAGCCCAGTCCTGAGGCGTTCCTTCTTTCATTTCCAGCTGCCTTCGTAGAGCGGTATGATTGTAAAGTACATATTTTTCAGGACAATTCAATTTGTTATACAAAAATGCTTGCATCTGGACGTTGTTTGTAATGACTTTGTCAATTTTTTCTGGGTTCACACGTTTGATGTTAGCGATCGGTTCTGTGGTGAATAAGTCTTCTGCGTCTAAAAACTTATCGGTTTGTGATTTTCCTATTTTGTCATAGAGTTCCTCCATGCTTTTCAGAATGTTTAAAGCCTGAGTGAACTGATCAAGCTGTATAAGATAATAACAAAGCAGATTTTGAACTTTCAATAAAATAAATAGACATTCTTCTCGGATTGCGTATGGTTTTAATTTGTCGAACGCAACTTGAAGGATATTCTTTTTTTCTACGAGAGAGCAAGGCATAGTTTTGGCGGAAAGAAGAGATAAATAGGCGTCCATTGCAAGAGACCTCACGTACTGGTCGTGATTCTCCTTACCCAAAGCTACCAGTTCCATGCCCAGGGTGTGCATGTCTTTCTTGAGACTTTGAAGGCGTTCCATTGAACTCTTATTCTTGATTACGTTCCTCACATTTTCGAACGTAGTTGTTATTCGATCTAATGTTTCCATAACGGATTTAAAACACTTGAAATTTATTTTCTAATTATCTAAATATAACAACGACTATAAAGAATTTTTATTCCGAACTGTCAGTTGTAGAAAATTGTTTTCTTGTCATTATAGACAAAAAAAGATTTTTTACCATTATTATTTGTTTTAATTAAATACTTCTTTATATAATAAACTAGCGACCCGTCCTCGCTTCGCTTCGTGGACTATAATTTAGTATTGTTTTTATTGAATTTTCTTATATACAAATCTGATAGGATATTGTATAGTGAATCGTTTGTAGTACCTCCATGACTCTATGGCTCTATGACTCCATGGGTCTACCACGTGGCTCTCTAAATTGTGAGCACTGCCGTTTCCCTTTTTTTCTTGACTAAAATTTTTCTTGAATAGCTTTTGTTACTCCATATAGCGTCATTTGAAAGCAAATATTGTATGGCTGGATATGAGTCAATGAATGTTTAGAATCTGGCCCATTTCAACCAATTAATATGTGGCTTTGATGGCGGTACCAATGGCGTCAATTTCATTTTACCGCTCGCACAACACAATCTAGAAGCTTCATTTTTAAACTTAAATGCCTTGAAATACTGACACACAACGTTAATTGGTCCGCACAGGAACAATTTGTTCTAAACTTTAAAATTCAGTGTTTTACATCTTATGTATTTTTAAATATAATTCCGACCGAAGCATTTGTTTTAAACGGTTTTCAGTTTTATTACATTCTCTTTTACGATATTTCCTGGCGGTAGGAGGAGGTAGGACCTCCTGTGAGTCCGCACGGTAGGTACTACAACTCTGCCTATTTCAGCCGTGAAGCAGTAATGCGTTTCGGTTTGAAGGGTGGGGCAGCCGTTGTAACTATACTGAGACATTTGAACTCACATCTCAAGGTGGGAGGTGCCATTTACGTTATACATGTCTATGGGCTTCGGTAACCACATAACATCAGGTGGGCTGGGATCTCATCCACCAATCTACGCATTAAAAAAATAATAAAAAAATTGCAGCACGCATTCTGTCAATGTTCTGTCAAACGTCATAAGGTTACATTAGAAATTTTAATATGTGGTAGTTATTTATTTTTTAATTTTCTAATTTTGCGCGCATTTTTCTTAATTTTTTGCTCTCATAAAAACCTTCTCCTGACAATAAAAAACGCAACAAAAAAGAATTATCCAATTTGTTGCTGGCGTTCTGAAGTTACGCGCGTGCATACATAATATACATTACGCAGATTCAATTTTACATATACCTGAGATCAAAACAAAATACATCTTAAATACTTTTCATCGGTAATCTTCATTGAATAGCGATAAAATATATGTAGTGATTTTATTATTATTGCACAGACAAGAGAAGGAGTTCGCGGCCCTCCTCTTGTTAAGTGGTTACCAGAGTCCATAGATATCACAACGTAAATCACGCCACCCAATTTGAGATTTGAAATCAAGGTTATATATCATAGATTATACACTTAATATATTTGAGGTTATATATTGACACATTATCATTTTTGCGGGGTTGATTTTAATTTCACTATGTTATTCCTTCATCGTTGAAGTCATTCGTGGATATGAATTAAGTAAGTTAATTATAAATTTATATGTTTATAATTGGTATAAAATTGGTATGGGCTTTGTGCAGGATTTGATTATCGGCACAATCGTGTAGCTCGTTACAAGTAAAACAAGCGTCTCATAATTTAGGCCACGACGATTTCATATTATGTGTGAACTTTGTATGATATCCATTGTATTTTCCCTACACATTTGTCGGTAGCCTTAGGGGCTATTCCACTTTCAATCTGAGATAATTTGCTAACACCTAGCCCAAGCAAGACCAGTGCTTCGCAGAATCTTCCAAAGGATAGATGCCACCCACTGAGAAGATCCGGCGCGAAACTCAGTGTGCTGTGTCTATGGGCTAGTTCGTTCGACGAACTCTTCGACGTTTAGTTTATGCTGTTGGTTTCCCAAATAAATAAATAAGTAATCTAGGAGTTTGACGAGGACCGAGACCGGTGCTTGAGGGGTCTAAAAGCATCGGGAGTGGATCCTGAGGATCCGACAAGACATGTTTCGGGCGACGGCGATTTTGCATTGCTCCATCGCCTGGGTCGGATATGTAATTAGCGGCGGTCACGATTAAAAGGTTATCATGTAGCACCGTTTTGTCGAAGTACCGTTTTGACGCAACCTTAAGATACTTACGTATCGGTTCTAATAAATATATAGATCGTCGTGAAGGCCGTCATTCCTTACGTACCACGTTTTTCCGACAGCTATCCTGCAGAAATTGGATTGAATGACCTGGAGAATCTTTATGTGCCTGAGAACTGGCCCAGGTCATGAAGAAGCGTATGCAAGTTTTGTAGAATGTCACCTTGTTCCGAAGGGTCAATTTATTTCGCTTGCGGGTAATGGAGTAGAGTCGACCGAGTAGGAATATGGCTCGGTCGCGTACTGACTTAATGTGGGGTCCAAATGTTCAAAGGTCCTGGCGAGAGTGACGCCCAAGTGCTTGGCTTTCGAAGCCCACAGTATGGGATGGCGGGAATGAAGTTACCGCGCATAATTCGTGACGAGATACTGGCAGTGGTGTCAGGAGAATGACCCCTTCTGAAGAGCACGGCTCTGCTTTTCGTGGGGTTGATGTCGATGCGCCATTTCCGAAATCACCCTAAGTTGTTTTAACTGGCTCAGCTAACTGATCTGGAAAATATCGAAACATGTTAGATACTTGTACGAATTCGCGGATTGTGTTATAGCTCATAATGACTGTCGAACCTTTTAAATTATAAGACATCATAGCAGAGGCCAAGAAGATGGTATCTATGCACATGAACTGACAATATACTCTAAAATCAAGCATTTAGATTTTAGACTTTTCTTTGTATCATCTTCTTCTTCTTCTTAGTCGAATACTTTATTGCTGAAGGTCGTGTCCCTGAAAGCCCTTCGTGGCTCTTTGTACCATCAGCTTCCATTTGCTTCGGTTTTCGGCTTCTCTCAGGGCAGTCGCAACAGAGAGTCCAGTGAGCGCAGTTATCTGATCTGACCAACGGTTTGGTGACCGGCCATCGGGTCTTTTCCTTCTACATTGCCCAACTCAGTCAATCTTTCAAGGTTGTCTGGTGGTCGCCGAGCAATGTGACCAAAGTAACCAAGAACCTTCTGGTAGCAAATCGTCGACAGTCTCGTTTCTATACGAAGTTGCTCGAGGACAGATTTTTTTGTTCTCTTGGCGGTCCACGGTATGTGGAGCATTCTTCGCCAACACCACATCTCGAACGCTTCTATTTTTTTCCGCTCTTTCATCAAATAAGGTTTAAGTTCAATAAATGATGTAACGTGAGATTTTTTTGGGAATTTTCAGCCGATTTATGAATAGAGTACGTAATATCAGGTATACTATACCTGATACCTAATACAACATACCAATAACTTATACGAGCTATATTCATCCAACAACTTTGATTTTAATATAAGTCTAATAATTTTCAGAACTACATCATACATTAGGGCTAAAATAAGTTTGTTTCTCCAATGTAAACTAGGAAAACCCATCAGCAAGTCCTGACATAAATGAAAATAATAATATACGTAGTTTGGAGTTTACCTTCGTGTGTAAGCCCTAACACAGACACGAACTTAGGTTTCATAAAAATATTTAAATTATTATAGTATCCTTTACTATACGTACTATACTATAATTTTTGTTTTTTGTGTAATCAACTTTGAAATTGTTTTCCCATTTTGTGCATTTTTTGCACAATGTTTTTCTATAATTTTTTTTACCCGGCTACCGGAATGAGTGAGAATGTTGTGTTTTCAAGCGCGTGTACGTATGTGTAATTTTTGGTACGGTCTGTAGCCTGAACATTTTGATGGATTTCAACAAACTAGAGTTCCCGCAGTAGTCGAAATTCGACTATAATATAAACTCTTCTATAATCACAAATTTCGCCAAGGCTACACTATAAAAAATATTAATAAAGACAAACAGTATTTAATCTAATCTCAATTTGACCACAGACGTCAAGAACAAAAGTTTGACAATAAATAGTATGCATGCGTGTGTGCGTTAAATACATGGTATGTAGTGTGTGTAATGTTTTCTTTATTGATTTAATGTATATTTTATGCATTATTTAAAAAAATTAATTAGCATTGTGCACTTCTTCTCTATATTCTCTATAAGTGTAGAAAATTTCATATTCCTCCGTCCCCGTAATTTTCGTTTCCTTCACGTATTAATATATAGATGAGACATCAGTACATTCGTATCACCGATTCTGCTCATAAGTTAACTTGAATATTTCTAAAGCCGGCCTCTTTTTAATTCAAATGGAAATATAAGGGAAGGCTGTGTTAGCAGTGCGTGGAAATTTACTCTGCAACGTGTTATGCTCTAAACATTATTCATTGGTAAATGCAGAATGATGATGATGTCTGCAGCGTTGTTTTCTTTTTAAATTCAATAGTACAGTAATTAATTGCTTGCTGTGTCGTAATTAAAACGGTAAGCTATATTGCTGTGAGATAGCATAGGTTTGTTATAACAATTGTCTTGAAGATTTGATCAATAATGAATTATATGCATCAGCGAAGGTATTACGGAGCGTATAATATGTAGTTTAATTTTTAGCTGTAGACGAGTAAACGTGTCTACTGCCTTTTTTTTTATCAGGAGGAAATCGCCGGACTCCCACCCTCGTCCACTGGGGATGGATGGCGGGGCATGTCGGAGTCGAACCGACTAAAACCTCCTGTCGCTCAACAACCCACGTCCGAGCCTCGCATGAGACAGAACTCATGAAAAGGCAAGGGGAGGAGAGTGAAGCGTTTAGTGCGGAGCACATCTCTCCCATCACCCTGCCCCTCGGGACGCCGGGCCAGCGATCGTCGGCGCCACGACCACCAGCCCTCTCGGTCGGCAGGCTGTCCGAAGCCCGCCTAGATGGCGCCGGTTTGAATGGGTTATCCTACGAAATA